GGCAGATACCCATAATTCAGTGTTTGGAGGTTTTCAGAATATCGCTAAGATTCTGAAAAGATTGGAGGCTGAATGATTACATGAACTTTCCCTTTTTCTCACTGCATGCTATGTCAATGATTTTTCTTCCATTATGTTTTCCTATCAAAGTCAAAATAAATGAATTACTTCTTGAGCTTATATTCTGACTAACTAATAAGTTGTATTCAGCATGAATAATCATTTCAAGTATTGAATCATATACTGAACCATATTCCAAACAATTGCTCCATTATCTTTTTCAAACAGCTGTTTTAATGTAATTTACATATTTCTATTTATGCCTTAAAAGCAAACAACAACAATCATTGATACTGATCTCATATATGTAAATATAATGGCCAAACTCTTGTAGTGAGCAGGAAGTAAGATTTTGATTACTTGAAATGTCTTATATATGAAGTGAAATCAAAATGTTTTCTATTAATATTCATCTCCCTTTTTCTCTTCTTTTTATACTATTTAATCTAGTTGGTTACTGGGAAAGAAAACCTGACTGCAACTGGCTAATGCCAGGTTGTTCTGTTGGAAGTGCATTAAAACACATATTACCAATTTAGAGGTGAACAGTTGGAACTTCTTAACGTTTTTATACATTCTATCAAAGTTTATCAGCATTAACCTTAAAAAAAAGAACTAAGGTTAAAGAAATCCACTCTCTTAGATCCTTCTGAAGTAAAGTTGTCAAGCAATTATTTTTCATTTTAATCTTGAGATTCAGCAAACAGGATTAGGAACACAGTGCTAGAGGAATAGAGCCAATACACATAGAAATCAACACTTGAGTTACCATAAATGAATATCATATAGGACCATAAAACAGCAGAATTACAAAGGACCTAACCAAAGGTAATTTAATACTAATATTGGGTAAATAAAATCACTACGCAAAAGGAGATGAATTATGACTTGATCATCAATAGCAGAACATGCTGTGCTCTGCCCCAGACCGGACTGGTATGTAATAGGACCTCCTGGACTCATGACTCCTGCTGAAAGAGCAGGTGGCAATAGTGGCCTTTACTCAACTTTGAGGCCCTTTGTTCAACTTCGTGTTGTGCAGCAGCTACACCTCTTATCTGAATTGGGAGGCCCTTATATCAAATCACTCATGCCCTGGTTATTTCCCATACGGTCTACTGCAATGTACTCTGCATGGGTCTATCCCTGAATATTTGGAAGCTTCAGCTGGTGGCTGTGCAAGTAATTTTTTTGGCCCCAAGAATGGTGCATGTAACACTTTTGCTGTGTGAACTGGGTTGAATGTCATTTTGCTTCTGACTCCAATTCAAGGTATTGGTTATTACTTTTAAAATCCTATAGAACATGGGGTCAGGTTGCCAGAAGAACCGTTACCCACCATCACATCCGTCTGTCCCACCTGATCAGGCAGGAAAAGTATGCTACACACGCTGTCAGTTAAAGAATTTTGCATGGTGGAGAGCTTTCTCTGTTGTTGTTCCCACCCATTGGAATATCTTCCCTTTAAGAAATGAGGCAGCCCCACTTTTCACCTTTCAAAAGAGGTCTGAACCTGGCTCTGCAAACCCATATGGGGTTTGCTGAGTGGCATGCAACCTTAAAGCCTCCCCCCCACATTTGTTTAAAACTTAGCTTATTTTATTTTTATTTACCCGGATCCTTTTATTGATGTATTGTATTTTTATATGGTATTAATGCTTTAGTTGTACACTGCTCAGAATCATTCTGAATGTGATGGGCGTTATGTAAAGGTGATGAATGAATGAAATGAATTAAAATAAATGTTATCTATTGCTGTTTTTATTTGCTTACTTTGTTTCACTTTTTCCAGTTTTTTAAAAGACTCTGGCCAAATAACTTATACATTTTATCAGACTGTGATATATTTCAGCTTGTAGTGTTCTGTAATTATAGAATATAGCTTGAAGATATAGGAGACATTTTTTGCACTTTCTAATCCCCCCCCCCGGGTATTTATGTTCCCATTTTAATGTGCCTAATGATACTGAACTACGTGGCTTATTCAAGAAATCATGATTAATAAATCCATAGCTTAGTACAGTGTAATGTGCGATCCCAGTCTAAATAAAACAGTGAGCTATATTTTTATTGTTTACAAACAAAACGGCTTCATGTCGTAACTGAAAAGACACATGGATTTATCTTAATGTCCTGCGGGACTAGCTTCATCTAAAATCAGCAGCCACCTTCACTGATTTTGACGAGCCTCCTGCAAAACTCAGCCTACACGTAACACGCAGAGTATAGGCAACGTCACCTATTCAGGAAACCTTTTGCGCATGCGGCCGGCCAGCAAGGCGGGACCAATGAGCCGGTCGGACGCGCGCACGCCCATTGAATGCCCTTTCGCGCCTGTCAGTTTCGGTGAGTCGGAGAGTGTCCAATGGCGGCGGGGGAGGGGGGGGGGTCGCTGGCGGTGGCCGACATGGCGCGAGGCAAAGGCGGGATTTATAATTTGTAAGCGCTCCTGAGGGGAGTAGAGCACGCGCTTGATAGCTGGATGAAGCTTGGCGTTTCCTGTTAAGAGAAACGCGCGTGTCCCTTCGGGGGGAGTCAGGAACTGCATTCTTTCCCCTTTGTGGGTGCTCAGCTTCCTGCCTCCCAGAACCGTTGGTTAAAAAAGAAAACCCTCCCAACAGCCTCGCCAACGGCCGGGATTTACATCAGCGTGCTGATTTGGAGGGCTCCCTGTTGGGGAAGGCTGTGCTGCAGGCAAGGAAAGGGATACAGAGGCAGGGCGACTTTGGATACGGAACCTGAATCTTCTTCCACTGGGGAAGGGAGGAGCTTTCGTGGACTGTAGCAGGATAGAGATCGTGACCAGCTTCCTCTTCAAAGAGCTTTCTTTAAAAAAAAAAAAACCTATAGGGACTGTGCTTCCAACCCACATCGGTGTGGGGTGTCACATAGTCAATCTTTCCAGTAATGGGCGTTGAGGAGATTTTAAACTATGTGCAGGTTGCATATAGCAACAGCACTTAGACTTATATATCGCTTCACAGTGCTTTTCAGCCCTCTCTAAGCGGTTTACAGAGTCAGCATATTGCCCCCCACAATCTGGTTCCACAATATGGTCAAATACTTACAGGAGCCCTAATCTGGCTTCCTTTCATAAATACCAATGATGCTTCCTAGATAATTAAACAAATGTGGCGGGGAGGAGGCTTTAAGGTGCTAAGCACACTTAAGAGTTGATAATTCTGCATGCTGCGGAATGTTTATGCAGTCTTATATAAACATATATTCTTGAATTAATCATACATCCCCATCATGCTATTCCCTTTCTTGTATGTAATTTTTTGCCATCTGCAGGGAAACAGCAAGCAATTTAAAATGTGAAATAAAAGGAAATATTTTTGAAGTACAAGTTTTACTTTCTTCCCTCTATAATCAAGTCACTTAAATATACTGCTTTCATGCCAGCAATTAACTTCTTTACTTGACTCTCATTAATTTGGCATCTACTTTTTCTTGATTTTTATCTATTGTTGTTTTTAACGCTAAGCTCCCACATGTACTTTTTAAATACTACATTTCCACTTCCTTCATTGTCTTTGTTTTTTTCTGATATCAAATTTATACTGCCCAATAAGAAAGTGAGTAGGAGCACAGCTATTTTTTCTGTTTCTTTTGATAAATGTTTCTTCCTGATAGAAACATGTATCAATGTATCACCTATTTTTTATACCAACATTTCTCCAACCATTTTCCCATGCTACCCAGTATGCAATTTCATCTACCGGTACTTGTTATAGTTTTTCACCATTTATAATCTCTAATCATTCACTCCACATTTCCTACCAAACACAACTACTCTGATGTTTGATTCTTTAATTTTCAGAGCCATACTCCTTTTTATATTGCACATTCTATCTGACATTGTACTTATTAGATTACTATATCACTGCAATCTAATCAAACTCTTGGTGTCTTTCAAATAAGATAAAACTTATAAGGCAAGAAAGCAAGAACAAGCCCCCTCCCATTAATAATTCTACAAGCATTTCTTATACATTTAGATACAGATACGGATTAACAGTTGGAAAGGACTTTATAGGTCATCTAGTCAACCCCCCCCCCAGCAGATACTACACCACTTTTGACAGATGGCAGGCCAGTCTCTTCTTGAAAGCTTCCAGTGATGAAGCTCCCACAACTTCTGAAGGCAAGCTTTTCCATTGGATTGATTGTTCTTACTGTCAGAAAAATTATCCTTATTTCCAGGTTGAATCTCTCCTTGTTCAGTTTCCATCCATTATTCCTTGTCTGGCCCTCAAGTGCTTTGGAAAATAGCTTGACCCGCTCCTCTCTGTGGCAGCCCCTCAAATATTGGAACACTGCTATCATGTCTCTCCTGATCCTTCTCTTCACTAAACTAATCATGCCCAGTTCCTATTTTATTTATAAATATATTAAACAATTCAGGGACATTATATATCCTTGTCTTACTCCTTCTTTCATGTTGAACCTTTTGCTAATAATTCCATTTATTTTCATGCATTCTTCAATGCATACTGTTTTCTGCATTTATACAAACTGAATCCTATAATAATTACATACCGTATATACTCGAGTATAGGCCGACCCGAATATAAGCCGAGGCACCTAATTTTACCACAAAAAACTGGAAAAGTTATTGACTCGAGTATAAGCCGAGTCGGCTTTTTTCAGCCCAAAAAGTGGGCTGAAAAACTAGGCTTATACTTGAGTATATACAGTAGTTAACAAGTGGTTGAGTAGTTTGTGGTTCTCTGCATTACATGCATTTAACCGTTGGTATGGTGAGTGGGATTGATGGGACTGTCAATGTGCATGATTCCTGACTGGAGAAGGTTGCTTTAATAAAAATTAGTGACTGGATTCATGCAAGCTGCTATACCACACTTTTCAGGTGACAATTACTAGGTTTAATATGGAATGATAAACTGTAATATGGTTTAGGTCTATCATATTTTGAAATAGATACTTTGGTTTAATTGTGTACCCATGGTATACTTGACATTGGTTTATTCAACCCAATTTTCTGGTTTCATATTATACACTAAATCACAAATTAACTATATTGGCAGAGTTTCTAAAATACATTGCTTTGGTTAATCTGTGTTTAATATGGCCCTTTTTCTATGACTTGGTTAAAATGATATTCATCTGCCTTTGAACCAGCAGATAACTAAAATCAGCACAAAATTGGCTATCTCCATTGCCCATTTCAGTCTTACAGAAGCCAGTTAGGGTGAACTATGGTAGCTCCCATATGGCATAGACTGGCTTTCAAGTGTTTTTGCAATTAAGTCTGAGAGACCCAGTTGGCAGCCTGGTAAATCAGGAATGGCTCTCTTTTCTTACTAGGCAGTTTTGCATCAGGAAAGAAAAGGATAGGATAGGGGATAGGGAAAGGAAAGAAGGGGAGAAAGGAAAGAATCATCTTATTGCACTATGGAGTGGCATATAAGTCTAAGTGCTATTGCTATGATTCTTTCAATAGCGTTTCTGGCTGTTGCAGAATAGCCCCCTGATACTATGCTGAAATTTGCTCTTTGTTTTCACTGGTTTTCTTTTCCCCGTAATAATATTATAAAAAGCCCACATTGGATTGCTGCCTTTTGAAACAGAGTTGTGCATATTATAGAGAAATGGTTTTATTATGGTAATATATTAGGACTAAATTAATGTAAAATAGTGTGTAATATAATTGTTCTTATTTCCAGGTCTGGACGGAAGACCAGCTATGGAAAAATGGAGCTTAATCACAATTACTGTGTTACTTGGACTTATTGCTCGATGGACTGTATCACTTGGTCCTTATTCAGGTAATACACATTCAGACTTTGAGCTAGTGTATGGAGATAATTTTCTTTAAAAGTTCAGAGTATGATAGTGGGAAATCTTAATATGGGATTGTTGTACAAAATATATGATATATGAGCAACTATTTTGTATTTTTATAGAACTGCAAATATCAGCATAATTATATGAACAAAAATATCTATCTTATCTTTGCTCATTCTTCAATATTATTCAGTTATATCCTGAGCATTCCATGTTTAATATCTGTTTGAAATAAACAAATGCGGTATTATTTGAGCATCTTATAAAATTTAGATCATTCTTAACTGATCTAAAAATGATCTTCATATGACTAATCTAATCTAGTATTTCATTATTGTGTTAGTACTTACATAAGGTTAAGTCCAGGAAGCACTTAGCTAAACTGTTTTATGTAAAAATACAACAACAACAACAACAACAACAACAACAATAAAGTATTTGATGCATTTAAGTTTAATGAAATTTAAATTAAAGCAGGTTTAGTTTTGTGCTGATCTTATCTCTCCTACACTTTAAATTGTGTCTGTCAGTCATACAATTGAGAGGTCAAGTACTGTATGGCTTTCTGCCTATTCCCCCCTCCCCTGTTCTAATTGTTTTATCTTTAATGTGGTTCAAAACATGTGAAGAAGAAAGTAAACTCATACATGTTGACCTTGTCCCAAAGGTGCTTTTTCAAGAGGCAACTGGACTTTCTGATTTTTCTTTGAAGATGTTTCACTTCTCATCCAAGAAGCTGAAAAAGCTTCCAAGAAGCTGAAGAAGCTTCTTGGATGAGAAG